ATATCCACCTTTCCAAGCATGATGTCCTTCTCCAAGAAATAGCATCTCTTAGCAACATGCTCAAAATAAGCGAGACAAAGTTTTGTAATTTTTGCCTCCAGGGAGCATTCTAACTGCTCCTCTCCAATACATAACTGTTTGTTCTTTTGGAAGTTTGTGGGCTATTCAGTACTTTTCTCCAACACCACATTTAAGGCATCAGTTTTTTCTTCTGTCATCCTTATTCATTGTGCAGCTCTCAGAAGCATAGCAAGCAACTGAAAAGACCATGATCTGAATCAAGCATACCTTAGTCCTCAAACTAACATCATTGCTCCTCAGTTGTTTGAGAGGTCCTTGACTACAGACTTTCCTGATAGATGTCTCTTGATTTCCTGACTGGCATATTAGCCACATATATAACCCATTGCTCTCAAGCCATTTCCAACTCATAGCAATTTTATAGGATAAAATAAGGCTGCCCTAATGAGTTTCCATGTTCCAATTATTAAAGAATATTTACCATTATTTTTCCTCATTTTGATTGATTTCCAATCTGGGGCTGTACCTCTAATACTATCACTGTTTGTGCTCCTTTACCATTTGTAGGGTTTTCAGAGGCCTGCTGTTTAAGAAGTAGATAGCCAGTCCTGCTTCTAGTCTATCTTAATCTGAGAACTCTATTATAACCTGTCTATCACCGGTGAACCTTGTAGCATTTGACACACCAGTAGTATAGCTTTTAGCCTCACGGTAACCCATAAGTTACCTTAGTACAGCAAACTTTCAAGTGCTGTAATGATTAGAACAATGAATTCCCCCAATAAAACAGACTGGCAAATTTGTGTTGTCCTTGTAATAGTGAATCAGGCACATGATATAACCGTGGTTGCTAATGGTGAGGAAGACTTGAAGCATTTGCTGTAAAAGATCAAAGAATACAGCTTTCAATGTGGATTCCATCTCAATGTCAAGAAAACAAAAATTCTTACCGCTGGGTCAATCAATAGGCAGCACACTGTAGATGAAGAAAAGCTTGACATTGTTAACAGTTTCATCTTACTTAGATCCATGATCAACATTCTCAGTACTAGCAGTCAGGAGATTAGGAATATTGCAGTCAGGGACTTCTCCAAATTACTGAGGAACAGTGATGTCAGTTTGAGGACTAAGGTTTGCCTGATCTAGGCCATAGTCTTTTTCAGTCACTTGCAGTGCCTGTAAGACTTTGAGCAAGGATGACAGAAGAAGAATTGTGGTATTGGAGAAGTTTACTGAATATCCCATGCACTACCAAAAGAAGAAAAAAATATATCTTGGAGAAAGTACATTCAGAGTGCTCCTTGGAGGCAAAGATGACAAAGCTTTCTCTGACATACTTTGGGCATGTTGCTAGGAGAGGCTATTCCTTGGAGAGGGACATCTGCTTGGGAAGATGGAGGGTCAGAGAAAGAGACACAGACCCTCAACCAGACAGATTGACACAGTGACTGCTGCAGTAGGCTCTAGTGTGCTAGAATGTGAGGCTGGCACAGGATATGACAGCATTCAGATGTGTTTTTCATAAAATCACTGCCATGGGTCATAGTCAACTTGATGGCACCTAACAGCAACAACAATAGGTTCCCAAGGATGTAACTCTTCACAAAATCAGACTTATATCTTTCTCCTATAAAGTGGCTGGTTGGTTAGAATTGTCAGTCTTTCTGTTAGCAGCCAAACACTTGAACACTGGCCACCAGAGATCCTTGCAACGAAGTCTGTCAATTAAGATCCAACAAGGCAAAGGACCTTTCCTCTTTCTCACGGCTCATCCTTCCCCCACACCAAAATTTGGTTTTGATTCTACTTTAGAGGTTTGCCAATAGTTTAAGAATAGGTTAGGTTTATATTTGTACCCTAAAGAGCCTGTTAAAGTTTGAGTCTTGTTTTAGAGAAAATAGGATAAATCCCAAATGTCAAGATGAATCATTCAGCAACATATTTATTGAACATGTATAGAGACATCACATAAGATCCTCTGTGTACATTCAGTCCTGAAATTTTATTTCTTACCGTTAAGTTTACATAACTTTGCTCTTTTAGCTCCACTCTGTATGTGGATAGATTTGTAGCACATACTTATACTCTTGTTGAAATGTCAATTCTCAAGCTTCTGCACTTTTCCATATCTACTCATCTGTCTGTATATGTATCCACCTGTAAATTAATGTTTGTCATTAACAGGTAATGTTATTATGTACGATCGAGTTGACTGTGACTCAATATGACACTTTGAAAAGTGGCTCTGAATCTTGCCCTATCCTGAGCCAGTCTATCTCCAACACACTTGACTCCATTGCTAGAGTCACTATGTCAGTCCATCTCGTCAAAGGTTTTCTTCATTTGTGCTGGCCTTCCACCCTCCCAAGCATGTTGTTCTCCAAGGACTGGCCTCTCCTGATAACATAGCCAAAGTATGTGAGATGGAGTTTTGCCATTCCTGTATCCATGGAGCACCCTGATTTCACCTTCTCTTGGACAGATCTGTTTGTTTTCCTGGAAATCCATGGATGTTCAGTACTCTTCTCCAGCACCACAACTCAAAGACATCGATGATTCATCTGTCATTCTTAGTCATTGTCCAGCTTTCAGATACATAACAAGTAATTGAGAAAACCATGGCTTGGATCAGGCACAACTTGGTCTTTAGGTTGATAGTGTTGCTCTCCAACAATTTGGAGAAGTCTTTTGATAGCATATTTTCCAATGCAGCTTGTCTTGATTTCCTCATTGCTGGTGCCAAAGGTGTTGATTATGGATCCAAGTAACATAAAGTCATTAACAATTCCAGTCCTCTTTCCATCTATCTTGAAGCTGCCTATTGATCTGGTGGTGAGGATTCTTGTTTTCTTGATGTTGAGAGTAATCCAGATTGAAGGCTCTAGTCCTTGATACTTTGCAGCAAGCTCTCAAGTCCTCCTCACTGTCAGCAAGGTTGTGTCTTCTGCATAATGCAGATTGTTCATGAATCTTTCTCCGATCCTGCCACACTCTTCTTTGTAAAATCCAGCTTCTCAAATTTATTAGCATATAGATTGAACAGGTATGGAGAAAGGATACATCCCTGACACACTCCTTTCTTGACTTTGAGCTATGCTATGTTCCCTCTTGGTCTAGGTACAGATTTTACATGGGCACAGTCAGGTGTCCTGGGATTCCCATTCTTCTCAGTGTTAGCCATAATTTATTGTGATCCACACTGTCAAAGGTAGGATTGTATTTTTAGTGGTCCATCTTTGTCTAGAATTTGTATGCACCTCTGTTTCTTCCCTTTTTGAGTGTTGTTATGCTAATCACACTTTTACTATGCAGCCTTTCTTTTACACTTAACAAGAACTTAGTGAAATTAGTGAAGAAAATGTCAATGAGCATTTAGTCAGCTTTTCCGCTATTCTTAGACAGATATGGGAAGACAGGTATGTGAAGAAATGGCATCCATCTGCTACGCCACTGCTGGCATGCTAGCTACTCTCCTTTCTCAATCCAGAAAAAGTGCCAGGCTCCCTATCATGAATGTGGAACTCTCCACACTTTCACATTTTTCTATTTAGAAATGATTGGTAAACATCATTATCTAATAATAAGATTTCTGGTTTGGTTTTGGTTTTTATAGATAAAAAAAGCAGGCTCAAGGAAGTTAGATTAGTTATTCAGAATTCTATAACTAATATATGACTACTCTGGATTTTAGAGTGGAGGGAGAAGAAATAGTTTTCCCCCCCTAAATTAATTTCTAACTGGCAAGTTTATATAAATGAGAAAAAGCATTTTGTATTCTGTTTCAAAAAAATGAAAGCATGAATTAGTAACTTATTATTCAGCCCAAGGCATGTGAACCATAAAGTTTCAGATCTTACTCTTTTTTACTGCTTGATAATCCAGGGTTATATAGAAATAAACTATTATAACTAAAATGTTCTTAGATAATCCTAAAGGGGCTAGCCAGATAATTACAGTACTGGTTATGTGTAGGTTATGTGTACAATAGAAGAACATTCCTTTTACAGTTGTATTATCTCAGTTACTCTCAATTAAAATTCTTTTAAAATTGTATCATCTCAAAAGTTTGAATCAGTTTTTTTCCTGAAAAAATTGAAAAATTGAATCACTTCTTTTCTTGAATATCCCATGGACTACCAAAAGAAGAAATGAATCTGTCTTAGAAGAAGTGCAGCCAGATTGTTCCTTAGAAGGTGAGACTTCGGGGAGCTCTGGTGGCCTAGTGGCAAGAAGCTGCACTGCAATCCCAGAGGAACACTGTTCGAATCCACCAGATGCTCTGCCGGAGAAGGAGGCGCAATATCCTCCTGTACCAGTCAGATCTGATTTGACGGTACATGCACACAAAATAATAATAAAGAAAAAAAAAAAAAAAGAAGGTGAGACTTCTTACCAGGAAGGGTAAGACTTTGTTTTCCATGCTTTGGCCATGTTAGAACAAAGGCCAGTCCCTCAAGAAGGATATCATGCTCGGAAAACTAGATGGTCAAAGAGGAAGACCCTCAATTGAGAGGGAGTGACACAGTGACTACAGCAATGGGCTTAAGGAAAGCAGAGAACGACGAAACAAGTTTTGTTCTGTTGCATAGAGTCACAAAGTATGAGCTGACTCATCAGCACCTAACAACAGCATTCAAAGATGGTCTGAGGAAAATGAGAAGTCCTTGTAGGTGCCCAAGTCATGTCGGAATGTACATTCCTTGCCAAACAAGAAAGAATGCGAGTGACCAACAGACAAGGATTTTTAGTTAGAACCAGGCGTTACTTATTTTTAAAAATGAAATTAAATAAATCAATGATACTTTATCATGTAAAACAACTTACCAAATATGAAACGAGTTCCTATATTAGGAATTTAAAATATATTGGTTTTTTGGTTGCTGGCTCTGTGTGTGTGTATTCTTACTGTTTGGCTTGTGAGCTTAGTGCTTTTTTGTTTGACTCTGTTTATTTATAATGTCTCTCTTTCCATAATGCAGACGGTATCCAACTGTTGAAAAACGAGCCAGAGTCTTCAATGGAGCAAGTTATGTACCTATTCCTGAAGATGGCCCCTTACTTAAAGCACTGCTCTTTGAACTTCGGTTATTGGATGATAATAAGGACTTTGTGCAGAGTCGTGACAGCTGTTCACGCATCAATAAAACGTCTGTTTACGGACTCCCGGTAGAAGGGGAAGAACTTTGGCCAATTGTTGCTTTTCTGAAGAATGGCATGATATATGCTTCTGTTCCACTAGTTGAACAAACTTTATCTCCTCGGCCACCATTAATTAGCATTAGTGGAATTTCACAAGGCTTTGAACTTCTTTTTGGCGTACAAGATTTTCTTTATTCAGGTCAAAAAAATGAGGCAGAAATAAATACAAAATTGAGTCAGTTGCCTGATTTGCTGCTACAGACTTGTCCATTTGGTACTTTGTTGGATGCCAGCTTACAGAATTCATTGGACAATATGAATTTCGCTTCTGTGACTCAGCTGCCAAAGCAGCCAGCTTGGAAAACTGGAACATACAAAGGAAAACCACAGGTTTCTATTTCCATCACTGAAAAAGTTAAATCTATGCAATATGATAAACGGGATGTCGCTGATACGTGGCAAGTCACAGGAACTGTAACTTGCAAGGTGAGATTTTTCTCTTGCTAATTCTCATACCATTTACCATATATTGAGAAGAATTTACTATTAATTTGTTATTTATTTATTATTATAAAAATTTGCAAACTGTATTTTACAATGTTAAATGACATTTTTTTTCTTTTTATCAGAGCAGTAGTCATTAGACGCTATGACAATGTGACATGTTATATTATCTTTTTGCATTTCTTACCACCAGTTGACTCCGAGTTCCTGGGGGTGCAGTTAACAAACTCAACTAGAAGTGTGTGTGTCGGTTTTAAATACACTGCTGTCATAATAAAAAATACATACCAGTTGTATTGTTAGGAAAAATACGGTTAACAACTTCCAAAGTGAAGTGTTTTAGAGTCTGCCATTTCTAACTCATAAGTAATTGAACCTTTTTTTCCCCTTACAACTTCTGTGGAATAAAATTGGAGAATTAACCATTTCTGGTTTTATATCTGTGGCAATAAAAAATGCAACTACAAGAGGAAACAAACCCACTATTGTCCCATCTGTCAAGCAACACTATGTGATTCAGAATCGAACCATCTGCTCCACAGAGTTCAGTGGTCATAATCTTAAAGAAGTAGATTTTTAGGCCTTTTCCACTGTGCAGTTAAATTCAAACCAGTAACGTTCTAGTTAGCAGCCAAGAGTAACTATTTGTTTCTGGGGACCTTCTAGGGAGCTCTGTCAGCATAGTTTATACAGAATTGTATTGCTACTCCAAAGGCGACAGTTTGAGTAGAGGAAAATGGACAGTCTTCTTTTATACCATTTACAGCCTCCGAAACCCAATGGGAGATCAGGAATGAGTCAGTTCCTACTCCTTGGCAATGAGGGAGAGAAAGGAACCTATGATATGTGTTGTTGTTGTATACCATTGAGTCAGAACCGACCCATAGCTGACCCTCCAGAGAGTTTTCAGAATCTCTAAGTCACATAATACTGCCTGTCTTTCTCCTTAGGAGCATCTAAATTTGAACTACGTGCCTCTGAGTTGGCAGCACAATATTTTTCCCTTTTTTTTTTTTATTAATATTAATGAAAATTTACAGAGACTTTGGATTTCCATTTATTCACTGTTAAATTTTTCTCCCTGCCCCTCTCCCCTTTCCCCCTACACTCTTCTCTTTGAAAAGTAAAAGAAAAATTCTTTCATTGTTTTACGATCCCTACCCCCAGGTTCACTCCACTAGGCAGCCTTCATTCTGGACTCCTGTCATGACAATAATACCTAATCACATATCCCTTTTAAACATTTTTCCTCCCTCATCTATTTCAGTGCAGTATACGGCAGCACAATTCTTTACCACTAAGCTGTCAGAACCCTTTTGTGATATGTAGTATGGTATTTGTGTTATTGTGTTTTAATGTTGGTAGGCTGTCCCAAGTTTATTGCTTACAGGACTTTAGAGCAGTTCCTTTTCTTAGTCTAGATACAGGTTATCAAGATGAGAAACTTTCTTCTTTTAAAAATAAATCTTTTAATTGTGGACAATGACTAGGGAGGATAGAAGGAGAATTGACGCCTTTGAGCTGTGGTGCTGGAGAAGAGTATTGAATGTACCATGGACTGCCAAGAAAACAAACA